ATAATATATATATATATATATATAAATCAAATTTTTATTTTATAGTAATAGATATATTGATAAATAAAATATCAGTTATACTATGATTTTAAAAATAAAATAAAAGAGAGAATGGTATTAAATATTAATGAATTTACAATGTAAATTTTTCAAATTAAATTTGTATCACTAGTCGTTATTTTGGTTTAGTTGCTTCTGTTCTGCTTCATTTTATTCTATGCATTGTTTGATAATTTTTGAAATGGAAAATATTTGTGTAGATTTAATTTTTATGCCAACCCAAATTAATAATTTTTTTGTTTGTTTACAGATATATATATATATATCTTTATTTTTTATTTTTGTTTTGATAAGCATGTAGTAACTAAAATAAGACAGTCAAAAGTAAAGTATGATGGCAAATGTTATCATTACAAACTTAAAACAACACTAATTTAACAACTTAGTGAAAGAAAATGTCCTTGCTAGAATGTTGTTTAGTATCACTGTTTCATCTGAAGTAAAAGTAAGGACTTTGGAATTAAGTCAGCTGTTATGAAGTTCTGTTTTTCAAATTATTGATGCTGTTATGGAATTAAAGTAATTTCTATTTATTTGTAGGATCCACCTTTAACTTTTCTTACTTTTAAGAGTTTATGTTTCTTAGAGTAGTAAAGAATGGTACTAATCAGAGAGATTTTATCTTAAACAGTAAACAGCTAGCAAAACAGAACAGAAGATTGAGAAGAGCTTGTCGTAAAGGGGTGAAATCACAGGCTTTTTATTGGATTGTCATTGTCTTAGTTTTCTTCAATACATTTACACTTGCATCAGAACACTACCAACAACCAGCATGGCTTGACAGTTTTCAAGGTATGTCAGAGTTAACTAACTTATGTAGGTTTTATGAGTTTTATCTGCATGGACAGAACTAATCAATGAGATCAAGCAAGGGTGGCATGTATAAAAGGCTTGGGAAGGCTTAGCCACTCAAAATAGGTGAAGAGAGAGAGTTCGTTTCTAACTACCTGAGAGCCCCCACCCCCTCATGAACACCTCTTATTGACAAACAAATAGCTTCCCCAAATAGAATGTCCCTTCCGGAGCATTAGACTCAACAACTCAAAAATATACAGTATATGTGATAGAACAGCATACTCAAACAAAAGACTCATGCTGCCTATGAGATCAAGACTTACATTGTTGACACAGATGAAACTAGTGTTTATACTTAAATTTTGGATTTTTTAAGTGATGAAACTATTCTTTGGGCTTTAAGTTTGATGTATGACGTATGGAGTGTTATGGTATCATTAATAAAACAAGTGCTCTAATATGTTTCTTTCATAAAGAGATGTTTGTATAGTATTACTAAATGTTTTCATTAATTGGCTTGTGTGCCTGCTGTTGCCTCTGGTTTCTTAACCGATTATCATTTTCTATTAGTAGTTCTTTGAATAGCTATGCCATTACTGCTTAACCCTTTTGTGATTGGGCATTTTGTATTTTAAGAAAATCTGGGAAACTTGATGAAATATCAAAAATTTTATATTTGTTTTACTTATTCTATATTTTATTGAAGAAAGGCCATACAAACTGTATGTCATTGGATTAAGTGTAAATCAAAACATTAATTTACAAATAGAAATGTGTACCATGGCAACCAGAAGCATATAATTGCTATAACATCTTATGATACATGTGGTTATTTTTATGTTTGTAACTGCAGATTTTTTAAAGGGCATCTTCTGATAATAATTCATTGGATTCAATGTCTGGAAAATACTCATTAAACCTTTCAGTTCTATTTTGTCATCGTTATCAGCATCTTCATCATCAATAGCAATAAGAATAAACTTGCTTGTTTGTTCTCATGTTTATTAAAGTCTCTTTTTCCCCCATATTTATACAGTTATGCTATTGTGAACAAATATGTGGTTCTTGCCATTCAAGTAATAAAAGGAGAAATTATTACTTTAACAAAATACCCATAGCTGTAGCAATCACTGACATATTTTATGGAATACTGCTCTACTTATACTGCCCTCTTGTCAATGAATATGTAATTATATAAGTGATGTGTATCTCAGGACAACTACAGATCAACTCATGAAGAGCCAAGGATCTTATGTTAATGAGTACTGACACTGTGAATTTGTAAAACACTGTGGTTGTACACAAGAGATAAGCTATGAAAAATCAAACTGATATAAAGATATGAGGTTAAGAATATGCAAGTAAGTGTACTTTGGAAACAATTGCCATTTGACTTAGAAAACCAGTATTCAAGAATAGAAAAAAAAGGCCTACCTATGAAACTCTTGCCCATAGAGACATCAGTGTATGACCTGATCCTTAATCTTTGAATTAAATGGAACTAAAGCTTGTCAAAACTTATTCATGAATCATTGTATTATACTAGACATTATGTGTTATGTTTTTTAATTTGGTTTTAAAATTTCATGTTTTGAAGCATTTTAGTTAGCACCTATTTCCCTATTTTTAATGTAGTACTTTTATTTTGATTTGATTATTGATATCTTATTTTGTGTATCCAACTCCATACTTTTACACAGCCCTTATATATTTACCTGTGATAAGAGCATATCTATTGTTCCTGTGTATAAAAATAACAAGCATACCTAATATGATCATATGGTAAACAAGGTTCTAAAAGTATTATTTAAGTATAAAATTATTTTAATATTGGATTGCTAGTATCTTCACATTCAGATGAAAATTTGTGGGAGTTATAAAAATTAATTTTGTGAAGAATGTTTAGGTTATTGCAATATAAACTTTTGATGGATGTTTTATTTCCGCCATATTTACTTTAGTTTCAAACTTTGATTGTGGTAAACATTTACCACAATCAATGTGTTCTTTAAAAAATTCTGACTTTTAGTGTTCCCTTTTTACTTAATTGTTATGGATATTTATATTGGCTTTTTTCTTATTTTTGATATATTTACTAAAACTTCTAATTGTGATTATGGTAAGTGTTTTGTAAATCTATGTGTTCTTTAAAAAATTCTGAATTTTAGTGTTCCCTTTTTACTTAATTGTTATGGATATTTATATTGGCCTCTTTCTTATTTTTGATATATTTAGTAAAACTTCTAATTGTGATTATGGTAAGTGTTTTGTAAATTTGTGTGTTTTCAAACAATTCTGATTTTTAACACTCTTATTTTGCCTTATCGTTACCATACTTTAATTTTTTCTGATAATTTCAGAAGTTGCCAACATGTTTTTTGTGGTGCTCTTCAGCTTAGAAATGATACTCAAGATGTACAGTTTGGGGTTCCAAGGCTACTTTGTCTCTCTCTTCAACCGTTTTGACTGTTTTGTGGTTATCAGTTCTATCATGGAAATGGTCTTAACATATACTGATGTCATGCCTCCTCTTGGGGTTTCTGTGTTACGATGTGTTAGATTGCTAAGAATCTTCAAAGTTACAAAGTAATTATGTTGATATTTCTAATTCTATTTAGCTTAGCTTGTCTGATTGCTGGAAAGCTTCACAGTGGGTTATCTAAACTGTGCCCATTACAGGGAGATCACTCCCTGAATTTAAGTATTATAAGCTCACAAGTTTACCACTGAGCCACCAGGAAGCATAGCAAAACTCTGATTAAAACCTTTTTTGCTTATCCAGTCACTTAAACACATTTTGGTCTTTAAAAACGTGAAATTATCATTTTCAACTTGGAAATACATTTTCATATTTTTTAAATGCACTGATGTATTTTCTTTTTACTGATGATACTAGTAAATAGTGAGAAGTTACATGTATAAAATAATAAGTGTTAGTTATAAAATATTAAATAGGGTGTGGAAATGTTTTTGACACCTCTTGTTGGTGTCATCAGAATCATATTACTGTATAGAACACCTGATTAGTTTTAATCATCTATTAATTTTGAATAAGAAATGGAAACATGCACAAATCAATACAAAAAATCAAGTTAAGTGCAACAAAGTGTTTACTCTTGGCAACTAAACTACTAAAAGTTAGTAGCAACTTTTAAAGAAACTCTTTCTGGAAACACAAAAAATTATTTAATATTCAGTTATACCAAATAAAATTCAGTTTTAGGTTCTCTTCATGATTCAATGAAAAATAGCTTGTTGAGAAAATGTTGTCAAATTTGTATGTCATTATTTGAATTTTAGAACATCTTAAATTGCTAAAAGTTAGCAGCACTTTTTAATGGAAACACTTAAAATAATTGTTTTATATTTAGTTATACTGAATAAAGTTCAGTTTTAGGTTCTGTTAATGATTCAATGAGAAATAGCTCTTTGAGAAAATGTCAGATTTATACCTGTCACTATTTGAATTTTAGATCATCCTGCCTGAGTTTACAGACACATTTCTAAAACTAGCATTTTCAAAATCTTGGTTAGCTAATTATTTCTATAATTTATGCATTTTTACATTTAGTATTAATTGTAATTGACTGTATTATTTTTTTCTTTAGATACTGGGCATCTCTTAGAAATTTGGTAGCTTCACTTATCAACTCCATGCGTTCCATCGCAAGTTTACTACTGCTGCTGTTTCTGTTTATTGTAATTTTTGCACTTCTGGGTATGCAAGTTTTTGGTGGCAAATTCAATTTTGGAGAAGCAGAAGAAAAACCACGCAGCAATTTTGATTCGTTTTGGCAATCTTTGTTAACAGTTTTTCAGGTACAGTACACTGCCAGAGTACATCAGTTGTAAATAGTTATTTAATATGTTGTCACTAACTTATTATTTTTGCAGTTTTTACTGAAACTGTGTTCAATATTACAGATTATTTCTTTGCACACAATATTTTAACTTAGATTTATATCATGTTAATCTGAATTAAAGATTACTTTGACCCAGATGTGTATTGTTGCTCTTATTTTATTTGTAGGTATAAACACTAATTACAGAATTGAGGAAAAACAAGACAGTTGTATCAAGCATCAATTATCTAAACACTAATGTTTTCATACCTGCCATAGTATTTGGTGTATGTGTTGATAAATTAGTTTCTTTCGAAAAAATTAAAGTCAGGTACTGCTGACATATTACAAATTTTATTGAAATCTATTTTAACATTTTTTAAAAATCTGTACTCTTTAGATTCTGACTGGGGAAGACTGGAATGTTGTGATGTATCATGGTATTAATGCATATGGTGGGGTTGGCTCTGTTGGTATTTTGGCTTGCATATACTTCATAATACTCTTCATCTGTGGTAACTGTATCCTTTACTCTCTAAAAGATTAATTGTTTTTCAGGTTTCTATCACCCCCAGCAGAACAAAAGCTAAAACAGTGGCAGTTGTATTTATTAAGTCATAAAAGGTTGTATGACTTTGTTTAATTGTGTAATGTCAGGTAAGATACTTGTTTTTGTCATACTTTTATGAGTAGAAAACATTTTTACAACTAATTTCTGGGACAAAGAGCACTTTATTTATAATAAATTTAAAATATTTAGATACATGTTTGTCAAACAGTGATACATATCACATCAGAAAAGAAGCTATAACAAACATATAATAAAGGGCAATTCATTCTCAAGAATAGATAGAAATAGTTGTTCCTTTATTAGAACGTCCATTAAACTGGGTTATATTTTTATTGGGTCCTTTAGTTTTGGCCTGATTGCTAGGGTGCTTGACTCACAATCTGCAGGTCATGGGTTCGAATCCCCATCACCAAACGTGCTCACCCTTGCAGCCATGGGGGTGTTATAATGTGATGGCCAATACTGCTATTCCTTGGTAAAAGAGTAGCCCAAGAGTTGGCAGTGGGTGGTGGTGACTAGTTGCCTTCCCTCTAATCTATCACTACTAAATTAGGGATGGCTAGAGCAAGATAGTCCTCGAGCAATTTTGCACGAAATTAAAAAAACAAACAAGCTCACATCATTCATCAGACTGGGCTATATCATATTATTCATTGGATCTTCCAGTCTTCTTTCTTTCTATGTCAGACAGGAATATAGCACATTATTCACTGGGTGTTCCAGTCTTCTTTCTTCCTACATCAGACAGGGATATAGCACATTATTCACTGGGTCTTCCAGTCTTCTTTCTTCCTACATCAGACAGGGATATAGCACATTATTCACTGGGTCTTTCAGTTTTGTTTCTTTCCATGTCAGACTTTTCTATATCACATTGTTCATTGGGTCTTCCAATTTTGTTTCTTCTTGCATCATCTGTCAGACTTAACTGTATGATATTATTCAATAGGTTTGACAGTTCTGTTTTTTCCTACTTCATCTGTCAGACTTAACTGTATGATATTATTCAATAGGTCTGACAGTTCTGTTTTTTCCTACTTCATCTGTCAGACTAAACTGTATTGTCATCTGCTCTTGTTTCTTCCCACGTCATCCTTGATTCTTCAAACTATGCTATATCATATTACTCATGGGGTCTTCTAAGTTTGTTTATTTCTACCTCATCTATCTGATTGGGGTATATCCTATTACTGATTAGGTCTTCCAGCTTTATTTCTTTCCACATCATCCTTCAAACTAGGCTATGTTGTATTACTCACTCAATCTTCCAACGTATTTTATTCTAAATATCATGAAATGATTAAGTATTTCTACTCATGAGGTCAGTAGGCACTCCATGGTAACGTGTTCCTCTCTGGTCTAGAAATTAAGACTTTAGTACATAATAATACTGATCTCTTGATAAACCTCTACATCTCCACATTTAAGAAAGGATCTAAAAAGACTTATGACTAGCAGACAGTGTGTTGCAGTAGATCTAAAAAGTTTCAACTACCAGAAAGATAGATTTTACCTGCTCATTAATAACAGGATTTATTGTAGCTGTACTATAGGAACAAGAAAGTTTTCATGTGGAATGGTATATAATTCAATTTGAAGTAGAAGTATAGAACATTTGAGATATGGATTTATCAAATATTTCATATCAATACTACTTTTTCTTAGTACCATTCTCAGACATTCTCTTAAATGTATTCTTGGCTATTGCTGTGGACAACCTGGCTGATGCAGAGAGCCTAACTGCTGTTGAAAAGGTAAGTCAGGTTTGATATGTTTAAAACAGAATTATAATTTTTTACATGCAGATCTACTCGTGTATAGTTTCAGAATTGTTCTTAAAAACAAAAGTTGAATTAAGTTTTTACCAATTGCATTGTACTAATAAAGATTTATCAGTGTGCATTTAACACTCACACCAAACTGAAGGATTGGGCAGGAATTTGGGAGTGTTGTCCTCTTGTATTGCTTATAAAATATTAAAAAAAAAAGACTGAACCACTCATAGTCTTTAAAAGTTGTGTCAAGAAGATTCCCATTTTGAGCACTGTGGCTTTCATAGAGTCACATATATCAGGCTAAGCTACCTACCTTTCATATTCCAACATTTTTTTGATGAAAAGTGACGATATACAGTTTTTAGAACAGAATTTGTTTTAATTAACCACAAAAGCACATTAGGGATATCACTAAGTACTAAATAGTTCACTTCTATGCTCGTAAACAGATGTATTATATATATAATGTATTGTGTATAACAAATATTACAAATGTAGACGAAAGAAGATGTTTGTGGCAAAGGTATGAAAATGGAAAACTTTTTAATGAAGGAGGAAGCAGAAGAAGTTGCTGAAGTACGAACACAAGATGTAGTTGAGGATGAAGAGCGAGAAGACAGAAAACCAGTAGAAAAGAAGAAGAAAAAGAAGAAATTAATAGATGAAGTAGCAGAGGAAGAAGAAATTGAACAGCTAGATACAAATGACACTTCACAAATGAATCATATTCCTCTTTTCAGATCGTAAGTAATAATGGTTGAACTTCATTGTATGAAAAGTTTCATTATTCACTATATACCTTTTTAATATGTTAAGCTGAAAGACTTGTTTGGGCATTATAGTTTTATTTTTTATTCATTTGTTCTTAAAAACAACAACTAGAAAACATATTGATAGGTTTTAAAGTTCATAAGGCATTTATTCTTACATGTAGGACTACATTAAGTCAGAAAGTAAAGTAGTGCTAGGGACATGAAAGATGTAAAAACTTTTAAAAACATTTATATTTTTCATGCCTATTTGAAATCCTAACTGAAGTTTACACTCAATAACTTTTCTGACAAGATATTTTATAAAAATTCTGACACAAAAAAGCATATCAAACTTCTAATCAAAACTGATATGAATTCCAGAAGTTTTTTATTCCCATTCAGATTTAATTTCTTCTTTTTGTTCCCTTGCAGCATGTCTTTATATAGGCTTTTTAAAATATAAATTAGAAATACTTATAACATTAGAATGTACAGTTAAAGGTATATTTTAGTGATATACATGAGTTTTGCTTTTATAGGTTCAGTAATCTGATTATTTGCACAAATTTGACTTTCAAAGAAAAAATAATCGTTTATTATTGACTATAAATTTCAGATCTTGTGTATTTAAAGAGGTATGTTTAAATGTCAAGTTATATTGGTAAACTTTTGTAAAATAGCACAGAAAATTTCAATGGTATTTACAGCTAAGACATGATATTAAAATTTATATCAAATGATTGGGATGCACAAAATTTATAGATCTAGATAATTTCTATATATGGTAAGAGCTTACCATTAAATCATAATTATTTCTAAAAATGCTTATCTGTTAGTAGTTATCCACATTTCAACTTTTGAAAATGCACCTGAAAACGATTAACATTAATATTTTTCACCATATATAATAAAATTTTAAAACAAACTTTCAGCTGTCATCAAGGTCCAGCACAGGTGAGTTTGGTATTGAATTAAAGACATCCTTGTCAGTGACTTGTGGGGAACAAAAGATAGAAATGAAATGCTGGTTTTATACATCTCTAATTTGAAATCTGTAATGGGCTTATTTAGTTAATCAAAAGGAGGGTTTAAAAAATCAATAAATTTAATTATGAATATTAGGCCTATTAATTTTGTTGCTTTTTCAGCTTTGGAATATACTGTGACATTTCATTTTTTTTCAATTGCTTATAAAATTTAGGTCAAACAAGGTATTCCAAAGCTAGAATTATGCCTTAAAGTGTTTAATTCTTTCTAATATAATAATGTGATATTGAAAACTTGTGTATATAAGATACTTTGTTAGTAAAAGAAATAAAAGGTTCCAAATAATGCTCTCAATTTTTCTGTAAGTGTACATATTAGTATTCAGTATAAACCTTTAATAGTTTTGTCTTAAAATAAATAATGTTAAAAATCTTGGATATTAATGTTTGTATATTTGGCACTCTTAAGTTTTTCGGTTGTATACGTATATACATAATGGAGACAAATGTGACAAGAAACATTGTTTATGACTGTGTTGCTTTATAGCCCTTTGAAGAACATCATATTGAAGCTCATTGACTACATTTGTAAAGTTGATAATATTTGTCGTCTTTGAAGTACTTTCAAGTATATTAATCAAATACAAATTTATCCTAGAAAATATTCTTATTAAATTTTCTGTCTCTGTTTTGTTTTCAGTTCCACGGACGTTCTTGATAAGTCTGTAAGTTTTATTTTTGCTTATTATTTCTTGTTTTTTTTATTACAGTAAAAACTTTTGTTATGCAGCTATTGTATACACAGGTTAGATTCATTGCATATTTATGATGCACAATTAATAGCTGAGATAAAATGTAATGAAGGAAAACAGTTTTTACTGAAGTGTTTTTATGTACTAAGTAGTTTTAATTACAGTTATAGGATATGTTTATTCAATTTCTTCTACTTGAAATTATAATTTCTAAGTACATTAATTCCAATAGGTTTCAGCTACGTGCTTATAATTGTCACAAAAATTTATAGATATTTTTGATTTTTAACAGAATTTTAGTGTTTTCAGAGTATTACTTTGAAATGTGTAACTTTCTGGGTTATATGTATCTATGGTAAGACATATGTATGAAAGTATGGGCAAACTAAGCTTGGAGCCACAAAAAGTCACAATACAGTGTATATACATACAGATATAACATGCAGTTTGATTACCTAGATAATAACCTCTGAATGGTTCTGAGTTGTTGTTTTTTTCAAGTAGAAATTTTTAGTTCATAGATTAAAAGAGTTTCAATTTGAGAGTAAGCTATTAGAGATCCTGACGAGTAATAAAATCGAATTTGTTGTACACGCATCCCATGCCTCGTTGTTGCATGTGCACAAAAATATAGCTAATAAAAAGGAAAATTACTTTAATCCTGCCTAAAAGAATTTCAAGTGTCATTACTATTGAGGATTCCCTCTTGTTATCTTTAGTTTTGATTTATTTCCTCAATGATACCAGATAAATTGAAATACCATTTTTTTGATGATGTTTTACAAATATCTTATAATTGGAAGTTTGATGTGTAATTGCAGAGCTTAAAATTTTTAATTACAGAATTGGCATAACCCCCTATTTGCTGATATTTTGTTTGTAAATTGCCTAATCCACAATATTATTCTTTTTTTGTCTGCAGACACAGGTTTGTAATAAAGTGGATGATGATTCCCCACTAAATAATGAACAAGGGAAGACAGAAGGTGAGCCTCAATCTTCAAAATATTTAAACAATTACATGAGATATGTTTTATTAAATTTGAAAGAATACTTGATTTGGTGGGATCTAACTAAACACTTTACACCTTATTTACCTTGAAAATTACTTTTAACTTGTAGTCATCAAAACTCGTTTAGAATATTTTATAAAAACTTATGTTTTGAATTTTAGAGGAAGATGGTGAAGGTGAAAATGATGAGGAAGAAATGGAAGATGAAGAAAAAGTAGATTTAGAATCGGCTGCAATTTCCATTGGTGCTCATCCAAGACGTCTTTCTGAACTCAACATCTCCAAAAATGTTCATCCTATTCCAAAAGCCTCTTCCTTTTTTGTTTTCTCTCATACAAACAGGTAAGTTATAAAGTATGTCGTTATACAGACTTTTCAAACTAAGATATGCATTTAATATTTTAATTTTTTAACTTTTTTTTTAATTTAAGGCAATTTTGAGAAATACAGGGCTGACAAAAAATACATAAAAGCAACTTTGGAAAGTTATAATGTTTCTTCATAAATTCTGCAAGAATTTCTATTTGTTTCTTTTAAATATCTGTGTTGTTAATGTTTCTATTTTTCACAGCATAACAAATACTGATTATCAATTATCGGTTTAAAAGAATTGTGTTTTATGCAAATTTTATTTATATTTTATATTTTCTTGAACATTACATTTCTACAAATAATACTTTTGTAATGTATAAATATGAAACCAAAGAATCCAGTTTCCAGTATAGTTTTTATAATATTCTTAAACTGGTGGGGACTTAAAAAGCTAGAATCTGGGTTTCGATACCCATGGTGGGTAGAGCACAGATAGCCCATTGTGTAGCTTTGCTTGATTACAAACAAACTTAAACTGGAATAAGACTCCAGTAATATGATTTGAAAATGGATTATTTTCTAGAGTGTGTTAGTTATTGAGGGATTTTGTTTAGGTTGATGGTGTTTTTTTTACCACGAAATGCCAAGATAGTTGATAACTTTCTTAAATAAAGAGACCTATTGTATAATGTAATATAAAAATTACTTTATAAACATTTGCATTTTATCCATTTATCTTCTGCACCATAATATAATGATGTATTTATGTATAAAAACAAATTTACTAGATTTAGAGTACAATGATTTTTTGATTAAACACCAGATTTGATATAACTTTTGTTGAAAGTTATAATTTAGTTACATAAGAAAAGCTAGGTTCAATACATTACAGGTGATTGATGTAAATTTTTTTTAGGTTCCGAGTCATCTGTCATCGTATTATAAACCATTCACTCTTCAGCAATATTGTTCTTGCTTGTATTCTTATTAGTAGCACCATGTTAGCTGCAGAAAATCCGCTTAATTCTAATTCAGAAAGAAATAAAGTGAGTGTTTCAGTTGATTATGTGTTTAGTTTCATAGAAATTTGGATAATTTATTTTCCACAGTTGTTGACATGTTTTACATGAACTTAAAAAGCATTGTATTTCAAGGCATCTTTGGCGAAAAGTTAAGTAGATTAAGTATCACAATAGGAGGAGGAATGATTAGACTTGTTAAGCGAAACATGAAAAGATATAACTTGAAAGAAAAAAAGATCAATAACAATGAGTATAATAAATGGAGAAACATTTGAAAGAAATTACAGATTTATAAATGTAAGTATTTTCACCCACAGATGGTTTCACCTTTGCAGTGGCTACTTTTTGATTTCTGGAAACTAGACAATAACTTTCATAAGAAGTTCTGGTTATTTTAGCTACTTTACCTAAAGTCTGGAACAAAAGAGAGCAAGATAATGTTACACTTAGAACTTCTGAAGTTTACAAATATTTTAGAGGTTCATACCATAACCTTAACCTGAACAATGGGCATTGAGTTAACTGGTGCTAAGAACAGTTTTGTTCACTTGTATACAGACCAGTTTTAATAAATACTTTGTCAAATAATTGAAGTTTTAGTCATTACAGCTTATGTGGAAGAATAGGAATGTTGCAAAATTGGTTGTTTACAAAGATTAAGGATTCCCTAGTTAGTGTCATGCTTAATATAGACTATAGCTGACGATTTGGTTCAGTAGGGAAAAAAATCAATTTAGGAGCTTTTTTAGTTGTTTACAAAGATTAAGGATTCCCTAATTAGTGTCATGCTTAATATAGACTATAGCTGACGATTTGGTTCAGTAGGGAAAAAAATCAATTTAGGAGCTTTTTAGTTGTTTACAAAGATTAAGGATTCCCTAGTTAGTGTCATGCTTAATATAGACTATAGCTGACACTTTGGTTCAACAGGGAAAAAAATCAATTTAGGAGCTTTTTAGTTGTTTACAAAGATTAAGGATTCCCTAGTTAGTGTCATGCTTAATATAGACTATAGCTGACGATTTGGTTCAGTGGGGAAAAAAAAAATCAATTTAGGAGCTTTTTAGTTATTTACAAAGATTAAGGATTCCCAAGTTAGTGTCATGCTTACTATAGACTATAGCTGAAGATTTGGTTCAGTAGGGGAAAAAATCAGTTTAGGAGCTTTTGCTTCACATTACTCACTAAGTTTCATATGAATAAAAGAAAAACAGTTACAGCTGGTAAATAACAGTCAGGAATGGCTACTGCCTAAGGGAATAGGTATTAGTGAAGTGCTAGTAATCCATCCAGGATCATGCCTGTGATGAGCTACCCTTGCCAAAGGTGTACGTTATATATATGTATGCATGCAAAGAACTTGTTAATGCTTATTTTATTTATGTATGTATGTATGTATACATATATATATCAATCAATATAAATAATGCTATACAATACATTAATTGTTCATAGACGATTAAAATCAGCACTATAAAACAATAATGAACTTAATATAAAACAGAAACAATATAATAAATATGAAACTCAAAATTATGCCTCCATTATCATTCCTTGTTGTGATCTGTAAGTCCTTTCTGTAGTAAACTTCAATAAATTCAAACTTAATATCGGAAAAGCAATATGTTTTTCCATTACTTTTTGTGGCGGTATTGGTTTTTTAAACGTAAAGTATGTATTACACACACAAATATTTTAATTTGATTGCTGTTATATTTATTATATATAAGGCAGTTAAGGTTTAAATTTGACTTGAGGAAAATGTCCTTCACTATAATCTGTATGTTAAAATTCTTCTATAAAAGGTTAATTTGTGCTTCTTTTGACCTGTAACATTAACTTTCTTTCTAGATATTTGATGAATATTTTGCTGGGAGTTAATGTTATTCATGTTCTCCTTCATCTGTAGGTCCTCAACTATTTTGATTATTTTTTCACAACTGTTTTTACAATTGAAATTACTTTGAAGGTAAGGTTCTTGATTTGTTTAATGCATTTAATGATAAAAATCATTTACAGCATTGCTTACTAACAATATCAAGTGTACCAAGTGCTGTTAACATGTAACATTTATGTGTACCAAGTCTAGGAAGTGCTGTTAACATGTAACATTTATCTGTACCTTTCTGGAGTAAGCTTCTCTAAATTCCAACTTAATATTGAAAGAGCAATATGTTTTTCCATCACGTTTTTGTGACTATTATGACATGCTTAGCCATGCATGACTTTGGGAAGGATTCTATGATTTTTTCACATGTAATTACACTTTACTTCTCAAAAAAAAAAAGTTAACAGGCTAACCATAGAAGTCTGTACTTTTAGTTTGTGACAATAACAATTCTACTGTAATCAAATAAAACTTAACTACTGATGATAATTAGGCAAACACTTTGTTTTGCTTACTTTCAACGAGTAAAGAAACAGCAATGTAAGGACCAGCTAGAAATGGCAGAGGTAATTAAGAAGCAGATACATTTATTCGATTTGTTTTTATTTGCAATTTAGCTGATTATCTGAATTTAAATGATGAAAATAAAAGGTAGAAATGTGTGATTCCTGGTCTATAAACCAAACACAAAGTGTTGAATTTTTTTCATTTGGGTTAAATGTTTCTTTTATTATATCTACTTACATATAACTGTTGTATACAAGTTATTTGATGTGTAGTTATTCTCATTTAATATAATTTAATGTAGGATATTTGTATTTTGATAACTATTGAATCATATAGCTTATTTTGTGTATAAGGCACTAGTCATAATTTAATAATTACTCCTTTAATGATGCCTCTAGATTTATAGTTAAAACAATACTGGATATTATCAAATCTTTTATAGGTTAGTTTTCATTCCATCAACTGTTTTGATGGAAGAAAAGACCTATGAAATATTCAAACATTAAATGTATGAAGCCATACCTCTAAAATTCTTGTACAACATGTTTCTTAAGAATATTCAAAACATATTCTATAAAGTATTTAAACTCAGTTATAAGCTTATTTTTTGTACTATGAATTGGAAAACTGTAATTTGTTTTCACTATAGTTTTAATTTAGTCCTACTAATATTTTCAGGCAGTTACATATGGTGTCATTCTCCACAAGGGTTCTTTTTGTCGAAGTGCCTTCAACCTGTTAGATGTTCTGGTTGTTTCAGTATCCCTCATATCATTTGCTTTTGAGTAAGTACATGTTTATTTTTCAATAAATTTGCACTGATATATATATATATATAACAATAAATAACAGAAAAGAATCATTTTCTTGAAAGTGAAAGGGATATGCAACATGTAAATTTAGAAATAAAAAAAAATCAATCGAAATCAATTACAAAACAGCACTTACTAAAAACAAATGATTTATAGTAAGCACAGCCTTTTTCTTAAATAAAACAAAACCTAAATTACACCCTCAAATATTAAATACAATTTATTTTAGGAAATCTTTTCATTTGATCTTAGTAAGTTACTCGAAGAAAATTGTAAAAGCTTCTGGTGGACTTTTTATGTTTGTTCTTTTACCTTACATTCTCATAATTAATTTGACTTATCGATTTTTTTAGTGAGATAATTTTACATTTTTATGTTTATTTTGAACAGTTTCCTTTTAATGTGGTTTATCCAAACATTATACTATATACATTGTTTGAATTCCTTTCATATTTCTAGTAAGTGCTTCTTAATTTTTGTTTTGATAATTTCATTTATAGAATGATCAGTTATCTTTAATAAAGAAAAGTAAGATGTCGGTTGATAAAAGTAATTGTGAAGTTTTTGTTATAATATGTAAATGTAAAGAATAAAATTTCATTTTAAAAATTAAAAGGAAATGTTACAAAAAAATATATTGTATTCTGAGATCATGATCACAAATATCCGTTTCGATTATGAGGGATAGAGAAAGAATAAGGTAACAAATACAAAAACTTACACCTTTTGTTATAAAAAAAAGAGACATGATCTTATCATTTAGGATTAGAATAGGACATATTAATAGACTTACGTTGCATTTACTCTAAACAGTTAATCAAGTTCTGTGCATTATATTGAAGTTTCAATTAAATTTCATTGAACTTTTCATTTACAATCATGTGCATGTGTAGGTTGAGGTTATAGCCACATTTAGGTTGTGTTGGTTATATATATATGTAGTAACAAGAAGCTTTTCTCACTTTTTACAATTTATGTGCTTAAAGTAGATGCGAGACCATTTTATGTAGTTTTTAATGTTTGATGCTAAATAGCTATAAAACGTGCTTTGTAAAAATTAGTATTTTTCATTATCTTGGTTGTAGTTTATGTGATTTAAGATAACATTTTTGCTTGTTTACTATGATAAAATGTCATTTAATAGTACTTTGTAAATTAGTTATATATGTTTTTGGAGTTGAATTTAAGCTGGAGTTGTTACATTTATTATTTATAGCAATGAAGCCATATCTGTTGTCAAAATTCTTCGTGTCCTAAGAGTATTAAGGCCTTTAAGAGCTATTAACAGAGCTAAGGGACTTAAGGTAAGTATTTTTTGTTAAACTTTATTTAGAGGTTTTCTTTAAGTGCATTGTTAACATTCAGGTAGTAGTAAGTCTGTCTAAGTTGAAAAAAAAAGACTTTTTTTATTTAGTGCAGTATTTCTTGCCATGTTTAATTTATTTGATGAATAACAAATGTATATATATATTTTTTCTCTTTGTATGAATTAGATTGTCTGTTTTCAATACCGAATTATGAAACAGTTTTCATATTTGAAAGACTGGAAAGAATAGTTAATATTCTAATATTGTAACTAATATTGCAAAGTCACAGCTTCTTAATCAATACTTAAAAGATTCACTTATAAGTTAGTTTGAAGTTTTTTATATTCATTTGGGATATCAAGAAAAATTGTATTATACTGTATTGGTGCAGTGAATACCATGACTCCCATTCTTCCTCTATGATAAATGTCTGGATATTTTTGAGAGGGTGATTTATACTTTTTAGTCATTTTTAATATAATCAAGCTGTGGAAAATATGAAGGTTTCAATGCATTCTTTTTTTTTAGTTATAAGGTAGAATTTGTTGTAATAGTGCAGTAAGGGACCATTGAAAAACACTTGCTAAATAAATGATAATTTACTGTCTGAGTTAAATCTACATGAGTTTACTGCATATGGATAGGTTTGTTGATGAAATATAAGGCACTTGGTTAGTCACAAAGATTCTGACCCAATTTAAGTTTTATGATTCCAAAACTTTGTAAATAGTTCTATGTTATTATTTTAGGCTACTTATTCATACAGTGTTTAACATATTGTAATAACATATAAAACTTTGTAAAAATATATCTATAAGTAAAAAAAAAAAATAGCCAGCACAATAGAGGATTTGTTTCTAAAACTTCATACTTATGCCTATGTTTTTATTATCTTTCTTTCTCTTTATTTTCAGTAAAGACTCAGCAGTTAGGCTTAAAAAATGCTCATCACAGATTTTAGTACATAATTTGTATTTAGCAAATATGTGGCCATTTTTTTGAACTTGGATTTTGTTAATTTTAAATTCAGAAGAATCTCACATTATTAATTTTATTATGTAGTTGATAATGTGTTTTACCTTGTGTTTCCATTACTTTAGCATGTAGTTCAGTGTGTCATTGTAGCAGTAAAAACTATAGGCAACATCATGTTGGTGACCTTTCTTCTAAATTTCATGTTTGCTGTCATTGGAGTACAACTTTTCAAGGTAGGCAGATATTGATGTGATTTTACAAGTTTTGACCACTTGAAAACAGAGAGCTGGAAAGGTTCTTAGAAGTTTCTACTTTCATGATTTTGTATCATTTTTAAACTATCTCAAACCCACATTAAGTGTTATTGGATAAAACACACACATTACTTAAATCCAGTTTTAACTTGTAGCATTATTTTTTTAAAATATGAATTTTTATTTAAAATTTGAATTTTTCAAGATTACCAGATTATTTTTACCACAGAATATTTGATGATCCATATTTCATCTTTTGAGATACTCAAATCAAAATTCTAGTTTATTTCTAGTGCTTGTTCAATAACTTGTACACTTTTATACAAATACATTGAATTTGTATAAATTCCGTAGAACCTTCTTTGACTTACTAGGTCTCTGTTTTTCTTTCTTTAGCTTAGTAAACTCATACATCCTCTTCATTATATCCTATTTCTCATCTGTTCCTCTATTACAAAGTAAACTGCATCTTATCTTCATCATTTCCTATTTTTCTGTGATTGGAATACAGCTCTTCAAGGAAACCCATTAACCAAATAACTGGCTTTTCATAAGCCCATGTTCTATACATATATTTATACATGTGAAATTTTTTTCTGTTGTATATGTTAAGCCTTATTGGTTCCTATCAGTCTTCTTTTGGCCATGGCAGTATTTTATGTGGTTGTGTTATTCTGGTGTATTGCCTTAAATGTAGTGATTGTTTTTTTCTTGCTAATTATTGTTGTCTTAATTTATATTAACTATCAGAGTATGTAATTTTTTTATTTTGTAATTCTAGAAACAGAACAAAAAAGTGATAATTAAATAATTGAGTACTTAACCTTTAACCCTGAATAAACATTTATCTTTGATGTATATAGACTCAAAACTTAGTAGGTGGATCAATTAGATAATACATATTGGATTTACTATGCATTGTATAAACCAGTAAGTAGATATTATCATTAGTATATGCTATATATTTTTTTACTTCTTTTCTAACATTAGATTTGAAAACAATTTAATTCATTTTCAAAAACTCTTAAGTAAGTTGTGACTGAATTAGCCAACTATGGCGGTTAGTGGTCAGGGCCTCCTCTTTCCAATACAGGGAGGCAGCACCTAATTCACCTTTTCCTAACATTTGATATATTTAAATTTTTCTTCAACTTAAATAGCATTTTTGTCTTAAATAATGACATACTATAAACAGATGAAGATTCTAAAATGAATGTGATAGCTGGAGATAAGGTCAAAAAGAGATTAAAATATAAACTAGAAGGAAATGTAAGTTGGATTATTTATGCTTATTTTCACATTAATTTCACTTGTGTTTTATATCTGGTTTCCTTTCACTGCATGAAAAGTGACCCTTGTCATTTTAAGTGTAAAAGTTTTCTAGAAGAACATGCTCCTGAACCTCCTCATCAGTTCTGACAAGTTTGAGTAGCTTCACGTATACATCTTACTTCCATTGTTTACAAGTTTCTTGCTGACTGAAAACATACTTTGGTTTATGTTTTGAATTTTTTAAACAAACGAATTTCCAGATAAAACCCTTTCTAATTCATAAGTTTTTTGTTGACTATATTGTCAGCCATTCTGTATGGCTAGCATTTGTTCAGTTAAATTTATGTTACTTTTTTTTTGTACATAAAAGTTTTACATTATTTGTTTTAATTTCACAACTGATATTAAATTAATTTCATTTGTTTAGGGGAAGTTCTTTTCATGCTCTGATCCATCAAAAATGACGAAAGAAGAATGCGAGTAAGCTTTTTTTTTCTTTCAAATGTGTTGTTCGTATTAGTAATTATAATTGTTCTCTAAGGTCTGTCAAATTAGAGATACTACCACAACTTGAACAAAATTATGAACTTTGCTGTTTGTTGTTGTTATTTTGTAATAAAGCTGACATGTGACACTGATATTCTAGAATTTATAGTTTTATGTTAATTTTTAACAACTTAATTTAATAGTAAATAGTTTCCATGTTAAAATGTATATAATTTATTATAGTAAGGAAAGCTTCAGTAACATCTAGTCCAGGAGTTTGTAATTTGTTGACTTCAAAACATTTTGAGTACACTTGAAATATTGAGGTGACTAATAACAGCAATTATGATTTTTGTTTTATACATATAGTGAAATAAAATTGTGACTATATTTGTAGTGTATGCTAATTGAGTTAAAATAATGTTTTTTTTTCTGTCATTGTAATTTAATATGTTCTGAGATTAAGCAATTAAAAACAGAAGAGCTGCCATTAAGTTTTAGCATTAAATATAATTAAGTCATCAAAATAATAAATAAATGTCCCATAATTAAACCCTGAGAATAGTAACTTCTTATATGTGAGATTCAACATGTAACTTAGTTTTAGAGAATTCTTTAAGATATTTTTAATTTTAGGGGAGGATTTTTAATATATCAAGGAGGGGATATAAGTAGCCCTGTGCTGGAGCAAAGAGAATGGCAGAAAAATGTCTTCAATTTTGATGATGTTTCTCAAGGCATGCTGACACTATGTACTGTATCAACATTTGAGGGTTGGCCACTGTAAGTTGTTGATTAGCTACTTTTTTTCATGGAATATTTTGGTTTGCACACTGAGAATTTCGGACTAAAAGATTAAGTTCTTGAAACTGATTGAATTATACAGTTACATGTGTTATATAATATTAATTGTGATCTAATTCATCATATGCAATTAAGAGATGGCCTTCAACTGTAATTGTAAACTTTGAATCAGATACTAACAATTACAAAATCAACATTACCTATATTTGTAGCTTATTCTTTTTCATTTGAGCATGCTCATTAAAGAATTATTCAGGAGAAGTTTATGTTTCTTTATTCAACTGTATCATGTGGGCAAATCAAGGGAAATAGATGTATTTCAAAATATTACTCAGCTTGTAATCTTTCATATTTTTTCACTGTAGTTATATGAATGACTACTAATCATAAGCTAAGAAATTTTCTTGAAAATAGGAAGTTTCTCAGAGTTCTGTAATGGATTTGATATTTTTTTTACAAGATTTTTGTAGTGAAAATAATCGGAACTGTTATTGACAGTTTCCATGATTAATGCAGATTTTCCTTTATAGATTATTATATGTAGCCATTGATTCCAATACAGAAGATGTGGGACCCATTCATAATTATCGACCAATGGTAGCTGTGTTCTTCACTGTGTATATTATCATTATCGCTTTCTTCATGGTGAACATCTTTGTTGGCTTTGTTATCGTGACATTTCAGAATGAAGGAGAACAAGAATATAAGAACTGTGAGTTAGATAAGAATCAAGTAGGTATCAGAAACTATTCCTTCAATCAGGGATAATTTCATTATTGAGGAAAATAGGGTATTTTGTGGCCCCGTGGAGGTGGGGATATTCTAAACATTGCATTTAGCTTGTCAGTTAGTGAAATAATGCAGCAGGCATAGGCAGGAGCATAGAGCTACATCTTCCACTGTTTAAGATGGGATAACTTTGTAAGTGTTTTTGTGATGTTTGCTAGAATTTGGGAGCTCCTTGATGACAGTTAGAGGAGGAGTCAATGTCTCGTTTGTACTCCCAGTATCTCCGTCCTACCTTCAACTACATTTATCTGTTATATAATGATTAAGAAGAGAATTTGGACCTAGACTTTCCATTATTAAAAAATATTGCTTCTAATATTTCACTTAGATGTCTCTCATCAAATTTACACTACTCATGAACATGTGCTTCTTATAATATACTTTAATAAACTGGAAATATTTTCAAACATTCATTCGATCACTGATCTTTAGTTCTTTAAGTATATAGCCAAAGCAATGATATTACATGTAAAAATCTTGATTTATTTAGAAAAACACACGTGTTTAAAATAATTTACTTAAACTTGATGATGTATATCTATTTTACTGATACAATAATAAGTAATATAGCATATGCTATTGTTCAGTTATTAATAGATACGTGTAAAATATACCCATTAATAAGATATTTATGTACTTTTCTTAGTGATTAGAGTGGGATCTCATTTTTGATATGCTCTTAATAGAAATATGGTATATTCAGGGAAAACTGAGTTAACCTCAGTGCAATGGAATATGTCTTCTTAATAACAGGAGGTTCTGAGTTGTCTGACTTTGAGTTTAAGGAAGAAAGAAAGCAACTAGGGACAAATGTATAAACACACAATGGAACAGTTTATTGAAACTCACAAATACAATGAAAACAATGTGTGTATAGGATGAAGGACAATACTTTTACTTTATTGTTATCTCTAAACTCTCTTGAGAAGTTATTAAGAATTAGTTAATGTTCCAAGATAAACTTTAGGAGAATAATATTATCTGTAAAGAAAAGACTTAAACTTAACTTACCAAACTGAGGGATTGAGCTTGAGAGATAGAGAACTAAGAGGTCATGATATTGTGTAGCAAATTCTATAACACTATTCTCAGAATGTGTGCCACATATGTAATTGTTAGTCAGTTTCGTTAAAACATAAGGTATGTCATAACTTCAAAAGGCATGGTATGGCCTGGTTGTTAGAGCATTTAAATTGAAATCTGAGGGTCATGGATTCAAATCCTGTCACTAAATATGCTTTTTCTTTCAGCTGTGAGAATATTATAATGTGATGATCAGTCCCCCTTTTTGATGCCAAAAAGCATATGATGGTGTTGACTATTTGCCTTCCCTCTAGTCTATCACTTCTAAATTAGGGATGACTAGTGCAGATAACTCTCAAGTAGTTTTACACAAAATTCAACAAATGTACAAATCATGACTTCAAGATATCACCTGACTTACCATTGGAGGACACTGCTGTTGACATCCTTGAACAATGTGCAGCATTACAGCCATATACCTTTGGCAGAACAGATGTTATCTCCAAAAGATGACAGAGGAACAAAGGGAATTAGAATGAAATCAACTTAACAACTTTCTTGATCATGTGTTATGTGGCAGTTGCACATAGACAGAAATAACTGATGAATTCAGAATAATATTATATTCAAATAAGAAAATAAAAACTTGTGTTATGCTTATATGTCACAAGAGGCATTTGTGCAAATTCACTCATTTTATATGGTTGTGATTTGTGTATCATGAACATTTAGATAAAAATATCCTTCTTCTGAACTAAACATATTTAGATGTGTCAGTTTATACCCAGGAAGGTTATTTTCAACTACTTTATATATATATATTTTTTTTTACATGTTTTTTACTTTTCTATGCTGAAAAATTGTATAATCTATTTCTACATTAATATTTGAATTATTTCTTATGTAAATTTATACATCCAACTAGGATGACAAGTGAAGTCATGCAGTTTAAGGATATGATTATAATTTAAACATTACTTACATACACTTAAATAATATGTTAAAGAAAACATTGCTACATTGACACATCATGTACAGTGAATACTCCTAGGTAATTTAATGAGATACTAAGCTGGTTTTTTATGTTATATCATACAAGTTCAATAAAATGAAAGCTTGTTAGAAAGCAGTGATGCTTTAAGATGATTACTTATACTCAGTTGTAGATGAAATGTTGTGTAAGGGATACTTATATCAAATGCTGCTTTAATATTCTTTACACATATGATGTAATTGTTTTAGGAAATTGACAGACCAGTCACATTATCATAATGTAACAGTTGTGTTTATAGGAATACGTTTCATTTAAAAAGTGACAACCAGATTGAAATTTGTGCCTGGGATATAATAAACTTACAGGACCTGCATTTTGTTCATAAAGTAAACTAGTTTCCATTATTAATTTATCAATATTATCATTGTCCTTGTTTCCAGAGAAATTGTGTTGAGTTTGCATTGAAGGCTAAGCCAGTGAGGCGTTTTATTCCCAAACATCATCTCCAGTACAGAATTTGGTGGTTTGTTACTTCTCATTACTTTGAATATGCCATCTTCATCTGTATTATGATCAACACCTTGTCATTAGCAATGAAAGTAAGCAATAACTTAGAGAAACACTAATATGGTATTAAAATAGATAACATGACTTAACTGTTAACTGCTATAATAATATAAAAACATTGAAGTGAAGTGTAAATTTTTTTTGGTGACTAGATATGGTATTGAAATACTTAGATATTACCAGTGTAACATCAAAAAAGTAATACTAGATGTGATTTCAAAACGTTTTTTATGTTTGGTTTTAGACTGAAGAATGAATCACTACTTACATGTTCCTGACTGTAACTGTTCAAACATTATATATAATGGTAAAGGGTGAATGACATTCTAAATACTTATCACACATTTACTGAACATGCAGTGATTCCTTTAAGTTTCTTCTTTCACTGACTTGAAATGTAAATGTACTATGTTAACATTAAATTTGTTAACTGTTAACATTAAATTTGTTCTTTTCTGCAGTATCATAATCAACCACATACATACACCATGGCCTTGGATGTCCTTAACCAGATATTCACAGCAGTGTTTGCTCTTGAGTTTGTTTTGAAAATGATGGCTTTTGGATTCAAGGTGAGCCTCTTACTACACAGTATAGCAAAAATTGTTAGTTCTGTCAATCCAAGTAGAAACTTAGTGGTTACCTTGCCCTAACTGTGATGCTAAGAGCTCATGATTTTTTTATGCTGCAAAAATGCACTGTTCCCTTTTGGGACCACAGATGCAATGTAAGAGTGGTAGGGAAATCCCACTATTCGATTAGACAAGAATAACCAAAGAGTTGACTAGCTGTTTTCCCTTTCTGCTAGTTAAAAATTAGCAATAGCTATCATTGGTAGTCCTTGCATATTTTTGCATCAAAATTCTAAAACATAAAAACAAATTAAGTTAAACCTCTAGAGATTCCTTTGAACAGTTAAACTAAGTGCTATTGTAATAAAAAAAAAGTTTAGCCAAATGTTAAAGGTTATTTTTCTTTTTAAAAGTCAGATCTTCACATTTGAACACTATGTTATTAAATAGGTAACTTGGACCACTTTAGGCTATCTTTACCAATAACAGAAGCTTTATTATATCTTAATTGGAAAGTTTTGTAGATTTTGTATTCAAAGGTGCATTTTTTTAGTTTGGGCATATAAAATTATTGTTTTAAGATACATATGTTTTGATTCTTAATAATCATACAAGTTGGAAATTTTGGCTACTTAACTAGATTAAAATCCAAAGCTGATGTCTTGCTTACTAGATTTCATTATGTGATATGTAATGCTTGGTGAAGATCTGTTCAGTTGCTTTTATTTCAAAATCTTTCACATGTATAAGATGAGAGAATTTTAAATGATTCAAACCTATAAAAGTTTTTAAAACTTTATATATATATTTCATTGCCACGAGTGTTTTCTTCTTTTTGTAAAACTACTGCAATACAAGTAATAATATTTGGTGTAATAAACAAGAAAACTTGATTTTTCTTTTTCACTTTATAAATCAATATTAATATATCTAACTAGCAGTATGTAATGAGGTTTGTATTTTTCTTTCGACTTTTCTTAACATAATTTGTTTGTTTGTAGGCAAATCAACATTTGGGGTTATATGTACACATTCCTTGAGTTTTATAAAATGTTGTAACATTTCAACTAAGCTATTGTACTATGTTCCAGTACAGTAAGTGCAACGAATTGTTAATCTTTGAGTGTGTAAATAAAGAAATTGAAAGATTTATGGATATTTGAAGATCTCCTATTTCTACTAAAAAATTCAAATTGTTATGTTAGTTTATTTATATTATAGTCCAAGCCTAAGGTATTATTTTTGAAAGACCTTGTGTTATGTCTAAAATTACAATTAATCCTTTTTACATTTTACTACTTGCACTAATATTTGTTGATTTGTGAGTAGCTCATTTCAGAATTCATTTTTATAATAGTTTTTAAATTAATATTCATTTTGATGTAATTTATGACATTTTTGAGTTATATTTTGATGGTGTAGTGGTTATCATGCTAGATTGTGGATCTACAGCTCCATCATTCATGCCCTGTTATTGTGGGTGCATAATAAAGGTGATGATCCACTATTTGAGTCAGACAAGAGTAACTGGAGAGTTGGAGGTGCATGCTGTTCACTAGCTGTCTTCCTTCTAGTCTGTCAGCATTTTAATAGCTTTGTATAAATATCCAAAAAGAAACTAGTATATTGTTTCAGAACTAGGGAACAATCTCAGTAATATTGCAAAGCTTAAATGACTCTAACTATAGTGTTCTGTTCATATTTAATTTTTAGTTAGAGTGTTAATAAAGTGAACTTACAACTTTAGAAAATAATTAGCTATATAAAATTATTTTTTAGTCTGTTTTTAATTTAAAACCTGCACAAAACCTTCTGATTATTTTTCTGTTTTATTAGGGATTTTTGTCACTTCAGTTTAAAAGTGGTAGATATATATTTTAAAAACCTGAATATACTTTAATCTAATACAACCTTAAAACAATTTTATTTCCCTTTAATCTTAATAGAACTATTTTGGTGATTCTTGGAACATATTTGACTTCATCATTGTTCTTGGAAGCTACATTGATATCATTGTTGCTGATTTAAATGTAAGTTGTATTTTTGTCTTTTGCTGTAAAATACATTTAAATACAAAATGCTATAGAAAACAGTGAATAAAATATTGTTACGTATCTGCTTGTTTGTTAATTTCTATTTCCGGTAGAAATTCTTTCTAAGGAACTTCAGCGATACAAGTCCTTTCTTTATTAAACCAGCTTATTCTTTCTCAATACAAACTTTTAGTACACAGTAATTCCACAGTCAGTACATTTTTCGTCACTTTAAACTTAACAACTTTTATAATACACGCTATAAATCACAGCGATTCACGATCTCGATAATTTTGCTCTCTATGAGTGCAAAACACACACACTAGCTCGAAACAGAATTGTAAATTACCCGAAACTCACCGTGACTAATGTTCGCTTTATCATCTTAATTGTCATTGTAGCCCATGGTTGTGAGTGTTCTATCAGCCTCTTAGTTGTCATTGTAGCCCATGGTTGTGAGTGTTCTATCAGCCTCTTAGTTGTCATTGTAGCATTTCATCATGTTTGTTGTATGCTTCGGATCATTACTTTGCTGGAAGAAGAACTACTGCCAGATGAGTTGTTTTCACAGAGGAATTGCATGATAAATCACAATCTATTTCTTCTTATCAGCAGTCGGGGTGCCCTCGATTTTGAGTAAATCACTGACACCATTGACTGAGGTGCAGCCCCAAACATTTACTGATCACCACCATACTTCACTAAAGATGTTGTCCATTAATTATGGTATTATTACCTTCTCTGCCATTGGTTGTTGCCAGTTCTTTGCATTCCACTCTTTGTAGTTTGATTTCCATTTCAACTTTTTGTTCTACTTACCTCTTCTCAGCAGTGAGTTTTGAGCAGCTGCACATTTATTGAAACTGCTTCATGCTTATTGTACATCTTACTGTTCTTAAGATAACAATCACACTATATTTACAACAAGGGTAACAAAATCTGTACTCTACCATCATATATCTCATAAAGAAATACCCTGACATACTTAACATAACTTTTGGAAAGTTTCATTTTTATCATTCACTTACTTGTATTATTAACAGCACCAGTTTCGCGTATCTTATTCAGAGTCTTGCATACAGCTCTTACTGAAACATGGAGTCTTACTGCATTTTTTCACATAAAGTATACTTAACCAGACAAATGTATTTATTTCTACATGTTTGTCTTGTGGTATTTCAGTCCTGGAGTCTTGCTACTACTACTGCTAGTATGCTTGTACTTTATAGGATTTTTACTTGGTGGCAGTTTCTGATTGATTGGATGACAATCATGGCAATCACGTTATAAACCTTTAACAAGTTGCTGTTCTCTGGTACAGTTTATTTTCACATATAGTTTCCATACTATTTGCCTTTTATAACCTTTTTCCTTACAATTTCCATAATGGTTTTCATTACTATATGTCTGATTCTACTTGACGCCATTAAAAGTAACATTGATTATTAACACTATTCATCTTTAACTATAGTCAGGCTGAAGAAAGCTGTAGGTGGATGGTTGAGTAGTAGCTCATTATGAAAATGAAACGTATTTCATGTTAGAATAATTGTTACTTCACTTGTTAATTATATTTAAATAAGTTATGTTTGCTTGCAGTATTCACAAATTAGTTGCCTTTTTTCCTGTGATACAGAAGATTAATATAACTGTAGATATTCAATACTGTGTTTTTATGTCATTCTAATTATTATAAATTTTGTTAATAAATGTGTTCTGTATACTACATATATTTTACATTTCTTATGCAGTGTAATTCTTTTACAGCCTGGTACCAATATCATAAGCATAAACTTTTTTCGTCTATTCCGTGTAATGCGTCTTGTGAAACTACTAAGCAGAGGAGAGGGAATCAAAACACTACTGTGGACTTTCATAAAGTCTGTTCAGGTGAGCCTTTACATCAAAATAAAATTGCTCAAGTGTCTGAGCACTTTTATATGTACAGATTGATAATTTTTAGACACCAAGATAGAGACTACTCTGTATTGTATTTTTTTATTAAATCTTCATACAGTTGTTGTACATAATTATGCATGGTGGCTGGATGTTAAATAGTTGTAAACATGTGTTAATCCTTTTGCTTTGGTGAAAGCTACATGGGACAGCATTCATTCTTAAGACTTTAAACTCAATTATATGAATTTTAGCCTATTTTAAAAGGTAATACTGAAACTTGTGTATGCTGTCTTTAAAAGGTTAGGATTATATAGAATGATGGTTGTTGTATCTTAATGCTGAACAGTCCTAATCCTACAGTTTATGGATACTATTGGCTATCTGTTGGAAGTCAGGGTACCTGAATACCACACTATTTACTTTTTCATGAGTATGTGATTGCAATAGAATATGTGGTTTTCATCATTGTATACATAATCATATTTCTTGACCATTTGTAAATTATGAAATAATTTGGTCTGAAAAAAGTACCATTTCTCTTTCTTCTATGAAACTCCTACTTATTATAATTTGTAAGGTCTTACTCTTAAGTTTTGGTTTTGATTCTGATATTGTTTTCTTTTTCTCACTAGGCACTGCCTTATGTAGGTTTGCTCATTGTCATGTTGTTCTTCATTTATGCTGTGATTGGGATGCAGGTAAAGTTTTCCAAGTGGTTATACTAACAAATTTTATATTTATTTGCATGATTAAGTTCTGATTAAAAAACAAACGAACAATTATCTCTAGCCCCTCAGTGGCACAGCGGTATGTCTTTGGACTTACAATGCTAGAATTCGGGTTTTGATACCCGTGGTGGGCAGAGCACAGATAGCCCATTGTATAGCTTTGTGCTTAATTACAACTTAATTATCTCTAATATTTATTCTGAGATTTTTTCTTCTTAATTGTAGATTTCATTTAAATGTAAAACTTGGTATTTTTATGTTTAATTCTGTTTAGTTAGTATAGTATGAAAGTAGTGCCTAGAGCTTACATGTTTCTAGTTAGAAAAGCTAGATACATTTAATTTTGTTCGATAAATATTTTGTTTTACTAAGAAGCAACTGTGGGTGGATTTTTGAACTTAGATATATATAATTTAAAGAAGAAACATGAATGTGATTTAGACTTGTAAATAAATAAACATTAATAAGTCATCTAATATAAGAAAACCTTTTATTGTGTGACATTTCAATCAAATGCTCTATATAAAGTCTTGATGAACTATAAGCTTACCAGAGCTTGATAATGAGCATTTGCTCAAAATGTCACTCAATAAAAAAGTTTTTAAATTATTTATTAATGCTTATTTATCTTCTGCAAATGTGTATATAATGTTTTGCTTCTTTTTTTATACAAATGTAATTGATTGTAAGCACTTCAGTAGCATATTTGTTGCTTACTTCAAATGTTTAAAGAACTGATGCCAGTGTAACAAGACTAAGAAACAATATATGGATGGTAAAGGAGGATTGACAAGATCACTGACTAAAAATGAGCATCATATTTAGTATTGTTACGTCTCCGTTTGTTAATTAATTTTCCGTAACTTCGTTCCGACGAAACTTTAACGACACAAGTCCTTACTTAATAAAACTGGTTTATTCTTTCTGAATATAACTTTACGATACACTTATTTTCAACAATCGCGCTAAAACAAACGCTATATCAACGAACGTCAACAATACTTCTGACTGCAATTCAATCACTCACTATCTACACACACATTATTGTCACGTTGTCACCCTCTTTTATATACCAGACTACCCTATATCTAGTAAATACTAGAGCATTCGCCAAAGTACAGGATAGTTCTAGAAAGTAGAGGGCGTGAGAATCACGTGATCTCGATGACGCAACAGTATTCAAGTAGTATCTCATTAGAATGGAAAGAAAAATCTACTTTTTTGACACAATTTTCAGATCAGTAGGGTGAATAGAAACAAAAGGTGGATGTTTATCTTTTTTTTCTGAGATGTGGCTGTTGTGTATAAAACATTTTTGCATATGCAAATAAGATGATTAGAAAAAGTCGTTTTAGCATTTTGACCACTACTATAAGAAACTTTCATGCAGAGTATGTTTCTGTTGAATGTTTTGAATATTTACAGTATTATTTCTGAAAGTACAGAAAGAGCATTAAATAAAAGTGAACATTTCTTTAACATTCACAATAATGCCAAATTCACAGTTTTGAGTGTTCAAACTAGTTTTTAGAATCTTCACATGGTACTTCATGACATGAAAATATTTATTATTTTAGTTACTGATCAGTAAGTGTTTAGAGTTTTCTTATGTGTGTACAAGTGTACAAAATTGTGCAACAGCTCGGACTTGAAATGCTAGAAACTGGGTTTTGATACCAGTGGTGGGCAGAGCACAAATAGCCTGTTGTGTAGCTTTGTGTTTAACTTCAAAACAAATAAATAAACACAATAGCTACTTATCTGGGTTTTGATACCTGTGGTGGGCAGAGCACAAATAGCCTGTTGTGTAGCTTTGTGTTTAACTTCAAAACAAATAAATAAACACAACAACTACTTATCTGGGTTTTGATACCAATGGTGGGCAGAGCACAAATAGCCTGTTGTGTAGCTTTGTGTTTAACTTCAAAACAAATAAATAAACACAACAGCTACTTATCTCTCCAAAATGTAAACGTTATTTTTGTTAACCCTATTGACCTGAAATTGGTATCAAAATATTCAGTTTTTTCTATGTAGTTCAGTGAGTAGTATTTGAATACTGACTTTAATACTGGTGTTTTGTCAGCTGTTCATGCCATTTCTCTTTTCTTCAATAGAATAGAACATTCTGATCAATTATTTTTGGAAACTAATATGGGTAGGGAGAAAAACAAGCAAGATAACTTCACAGTAAAAGTTTTCATTTCAACTTGTACATTTAACTTTGATGATTTCAGTTCATAAGAAGAGACATCTATTTATTTATATAAGACTCATTATTTTTGAGTTGTTTTAATTGTGACCTTCCTAGAATGTGACATTCCATGGTAGGTGGAATTTCTCAGCTACATAGATAATTATATTTTCTAATCAGTGTTCAATAAAGCTAATGCACCTTATCAACTGATTTTTTCGTAAAGAAACTTATACTGGTATATAAGAAGGAGAGGTGGAAAGTGTTGCATGTGTGTGGTCAGATAGACAAGTACAAAATATTTGTCATAATTTATTTTTGTTTGCACAAGAGCAGAGTTATGTTCATTGTTTTTTAGTGTTCTGTTAGTACTACCTAATGACAATGATTTTTCCTTCAAAATAATTTATCTTATTTTAGGTTTTTGGAAAAATTGCCCTTGATTCTGATTCTGCCATTCATAGAAATAACAATTTTCAGACGTTTCCGCAAGCAATTTTGGTTTTATTCAGGTACAGTAATTATTTTAAATGTTGTTAGCAAAAATTTCATTCCATTCAGCATTAAAATATTATGGTAAAGTCTGGAGAGTAAATAATTCTGTACTTCCAATTTTCAATAATATCTTTAATGATAAAAAAGGATGGTTCACTTAGCTAGATATTGAATTGGGTTATGACTTGTCTTTTAGGTGGATATGTTTTGTTTAAACATTATTTTGTGTTGAGTAAACTGGAATGGATGGCAACTGCATGGATGTAGAGGACGATGTTTTGAAAATCTTCTATCTTTCATCTTCAGGTCAGTGTATGTAAGATGTTGTAGGTCTTTATAGTACCCTGGTGGATTGTGGAGGATGTGTTATGATTGGTTTGTTTATCCCTGGTTCTGATTGCTGGAAAGGCTGTATGAGGTTGTGACCAATGGTAGATTGCTCACCTCTAATCCCGAATCTCTGTTTATAAGTTGCATTCCTTATAATAGCGAAGCTATTTTACAATAGGTGTTCTGTGACAAATAAAGTTCCTGTTGAGAATTTTATATTGAAAACCATACTTACATATGTAACAGGTCTGCCACAGGAGAAGCATGGCAGGATATCATGATGAGTTGCTCCAACAAGCCAACAGTGATATGTGATTCTCGCTCTAATACCCCTGGGACGTGTGGGAGTGACTTTGCTCTGCCTTTCTTCATCTCGTTTTACATCCTCTGCTCATTTTTGGTAATGACTGTTCTAGAAAATATCATACATTTAACTAATTGTAATATTGAAAAGATTTTACTTTTGAATGCTATAACATGCATTAATATTTTCTCAAAATATCTATAACAAAAATTCAGAACGAGGAAATATGTGTTAACTCTTTGTATTATGCATCCATATTTGTGTAATGTAGGTATGTTGTTCACTGGTTTGTATGTTTAAAGTGTTCTCAAAGAGCTATTATTATTATTAAACAGCATTAATAGGAGAGGAAATTAATATAAACTTCCAATCAGAACAAGCTACCAACTTAGATCCAAAATAGCAATAAAAGTCACATCAACCCAGTAAGGAGTATAGCTAATTAAGTATACTGTTTTTACATTCTCACTTATAAAGATTAGGATGCATTGTTTCATCAAATGGATACACTCACTGTTAATGATATTGTCAGCTGTAAATGCCCAATAACATCTCGTGAGGTTTATGTTAGTTCTCAGTTCATGTGCTAAGTTAACAATGTAAAATAATTTCTGTAATGAAAGTATAAAACAAATAGTAGGGATGCACGGATACCTGGCCAGATATTTGGCCCTGACTGGGTATTGGGCTACCTGGTAATACTCAGCTCCAGCTGAATGTTGAAGTTAGGCATCTAAGCCCTAATCTTTGTGGCAACTAATGCAGTACTGAAAGTTACAGTCAATAATTGGTTTAATTAAAAAATATGTCTTCCGAGCAACAAAAACTGACTGCCTGCTGAAATTGAGAGAACAGTAGGGGTTAATAACAGGCATGGCTTGGAATTGGATCTCTGGAGAAGGTGGGGGGTTTTGAGAACAATAGGGGTTAGGGTTTGAGAAGTTGGGGCTAGGCATTGAAAGTTGAAAGTAAAACTTGAATGTTCTGTTGGTGCTTATTCGGTTAAATGTAATAAACGTCAATTTTGTTTTTGTGTATGTTTTTTTTGGGGGGGGGGGGGTCAAGGGGAGAGACCCCCCCCCCAGACGAAGCTTAGTGACCAAGTACCCGGACCTGGTATTCGGCTAAGTTTTACTACCCGTGCTTCCCTAACAAATATTGAAACTAGATATATTAAACATGCTAACAGGTATTGTTAATGAAAGTAACATTAAAGGAAGAATAGAGTATAACTTATTTACATTTAAAAGGAATACAACGTTAAGATCATTACACAATAAATAGTTATTAAAAACAGGGACTTGCCATCTTCAGGAACTTACATACCCACATAATCATTTACTTACTTAGATAACACACAAACATTAGTTGTTAGCTTCAAGTACTGTCATAGGTTTAATATTTACTGTTGAACAACTTAACATCAGCATAACTGTATATAAGCACAATTTTACACAATCTTCTCTAGAAATGTCTTGTGACCAATGAAAACACATTAAATAGCTTTGACAGTGTACTACAGAGACTAGCAACAAAGGATTGACCAAAGTTATTTTTTGGAAAATAGTTATGTTCAACATAGTGTCCTAGTGTATCTTTGCTACTAACAAGAAATTATCAAACTAAATAATAAAAAAGTAAAAAAAAACACTGAAAGAATCTCACTACTGCTTAGAATTTAGCAAATTGGCATCTGTGTTCCTGTATGTGATGTTATAATAATCAAAAGTATTAGCTAAATATGTTTATTATCACTCATAATTGTTATATCATTAATATTTAATTAGTACTGATAACATTAATGACAATAAAACATGTGCAAATTGATCTGTTTTTAGAAACCATTAAGTTTTACTTTTGCAGGGGAAGATACAGAAACAACATCTAATTTTACATTTATTGCAATTAATTATTTTGACCCAAATCCTTTTTTTCATACATTTAAAAGATTTAAACATTTCAGAAAATTACAGGAGGATAATTATATAGCATACAATGATGATTTTATTTATCTTTACATGTTAAAGGTCATTAACCTTTTTGTGGCTGTTATCATGGATAACTTTGACTATTTGACTCGAGACTGGTCCATCTTAGGTCCTCATCACCTTGATGAATTTGTACGGCTTTGGTCTGAGTATGATCCAGATGCCAAGTAAGAAGCTTCTGTTTATAATAGTATGTGTAATACCATGTAATATATCAGTATAGTAGTTCTTTTAACTGGAAATTTGCCACTACCTCATTAGGACTTTGATTTAAAACTTTTGGTACTTATTAGGATGTTTTTATTTTAATAATGTCATTGAAATTAATCTGTTTTGTAAAAGAAATTCTAGTAGGGTGATCACATTTTTTATTCTTTTATGGGTTGAATATGAGACTAGTATTTTTTCTGTACATGTTTCAGAATATAAAAATAAATGTTAGATATTAACTATTTTAAAAGCAGTCTATTTATCATTATAACTTTTTTCTCACTCATTGTATTGTATTAATTCCTTCAGTGTTATTGTAACCAGTTGTGTCAAGTTTTGCTTGTACATAGATGTATTCCTCTGTACATGATTCCTCTAACTTAAACAGTATATAAGTGGTTTTAATAATTCTAGCTTAACTGTAACTTATCTTTAATAATATATGTCAAGGTTCAAGATAACAATGAACGTTAATGACCTTGAACAATATGAGGACATGTGGGTGTGTTCTGGTGGCATTAAAATTTTGAGAAGCATTTTTCTAAAGGAACAATATTATAGTTTTTACATTCATATTTCATTACTGGAAAAAGATTGTCTGTTTTTAGAAATATTTTGAGTTTTATGTTTTGTTTATATTCTGTTTTGCATTCTTACTCTAATGCATTAAATATCTTTCCAAGTTCAGAATATATTTAATTTTGTTTGCATGTATATAGTGTCACCACACAAAAAAAGAAGAAAATGATATTATCAGAAACAACGTATGTACAATATCAACTGCAGTGACATACATAGTGTACATTTTGCAAACAGTTTTCATGGCTTTGTGTTGTTGTTTTTTTTTCACATATGTGGATACAAGATAATAGAGGAACGTTTTTTGAATCACCTACCTGTTCATTATAAAGTTAACCTGTAAACAACACCTTTCAGAGGGCGGATCAAACACCTTGATGTCGTGACTTTGCTACGGAAGATCTCTCCACCTTTAGGATTTGGTAAACTCTGTCCGCATAGAGTAGCCTGCAAAGTAAGTTGGAAACAATTATAATTGCTGTTCAACAAGCCTTATTATTATAAGTTGCTGCATAAGTAAAACAGTTTAGTAAACTGGGTTTCTTACAAGTTATCTGAATCTTATAAATAAGTTGCACTTTCTTGTGTTCATTTTTAATAATGAGTATGTACATACATAAGTATGGAACATAAATAAGTTTTAAAATGCAGTACACAAAACAGGAAATAAAAAATATATGACATTACTGTTTCATTATATTAACTACTTGTTTTTTGAAATTGCTATATATATATACACACACATTTTTTCACTTAAATATATTTTAAAGTTGATATTTTATTTCAATTTTGTTTTATTTGTTTAGCACTTAAAAACATTTTTTCATTGAAAGACATTGTAAATCACATACATACAAAGGGGGGTTTGGCTGAACTCCCTATTTTTGTGATGTGAAAAAATACTGCCACTAAGTTTATGTTCATGTGAATGTTTTGCATCTGCTCTCTGCCAGTTGAATAATTATCTGAGGCATACACAAACTGAAGAAACACTGAGTGCTTAACTTTAATGCATAATCATTATGACACTACTATAAACACTGAAACTGTATGTAAGCTATTTGTGGAAAAGCACCTTAGAAGAATGGAACATGCTAACATGTTATTTCTATAGTGCATACGTGTACATATATGATAGCCAATGATTGAAATAGCTAATATACTATTCTTGTACAGAGTTGTTTAAATTAGTAATATAATTCAACAATTAATAATTACTCTACATGTATATAATACAGTAGTTTACTATAATAAAACATACATATTTATGCTAATTTAAGTCTAGCTCCCCATGCAGTGTGACAACAGAATGATGATTTCTTGGCTTTTCATTGGATGTTTGTGGATTTTATGTGATTAGCCATGCAATTGTTTTAGCTATATTTCCCACAAAATTGCTTCCAGATTTAATCTCATAACACCCATTTTTTACAAATTGTCTAGGTTGGGGGGGGGGGCATGCCCTTAAAACCCTGTTGCATTACCATGCTCATTGTGCTTCACACAGTATGTGTTAGCTTTTACAAATCTTACAAATTAGAACCAATTTTTAAACATCCTGTATACAGGCCTGTAGATTAGTTTAATAGGTATAGAATTTACTTTCGTTTTTCCAAAAGAAAAGTATGTCAAGTTTACCACCATAATATTTTTGTCCAGTTCGAAACTTCAGCCAAGCTGTTGTCTAATACAATGCACAAAATTATTAGTAAATATTTTTTATTACAAAAATGCTTTGTTTAAATTTTTTATAAGAGTTCATCAGAAATCTATGTTGTATGTGGGAAAATTACAGTTTTACACTAGTTTATTCTGGCTGTTAAATCACTGTCTTCTCACTTTTCTCAAAACTAACTGTAGTTACGTGTATCTTAGTACAAATGTTACCATTCAATACGTGTGGCCTAGCATGACCAGGTGGTTTGGGCACTTGAATTGCAACCTGTGGGTTTGATTCCCCATCCCACCAAATATGCTCACCCTTTCAGCTATGGGGCATTATAAATTGATGGTCAATCCCACTATTTATTGGTAAAAGCGTAGCCCATGAGTTGACAGTGGGAGGTGATGACTAGCTGCCTTCCCTCTAATCGTTTACTGCTAAATTAGGGATGACTAGTGCAGATAGCCCTTGTGTAGCTTTGCATGAAATTCAAACCAAACCAATACTTCTACTTTTCTGTTAGTAATTGGTGTCAATCTCTTAATTATATAATAATTGTTTAAGATTAGACAAGGAATCTGTAAATTGTTTTTCATATTATTTATATACTTTTTAAAGCTTCTCCTTTCCTCCATGTCCTTCGTAGATGATGTTTTACATAAAAGTTTATAATATATTATGTGGGATATTTGGTTTATTTCAACTTTTCCTATTTGCTTGTAATATGTGCTGTTGTCTTTATCTTTTTATTGTTGCCAATCACTGGGTAAAAAATTTACATCTAGAACATGTAGAAATTATGTAAAAGTTTATAACGTTAAACCTTTACAGTTTATACTGTCGAAATAGAAGCATATTTAGATGTATAGTTGCCTAAAAAATATTAAGGATTACTTAAGGTATATTTATAAAATGTATTTCTTATACACTGCTCATTAAGTGTGAGGAGTATCACTTATAAAAAATTTTTTATCTCTGTTACAGAGACTTGTATCCATGAACATGCCCCTGAACACTGATGGAACTGTCATGTTTAATGCTACATTATTTGCAGTTGTTCGAACCTCTTTACGTATCAAAACAGATGGTAAAATAATTTAATTTATTTTAGATGCAGGATTTCTTGTTAGATTAACTCGTATGAGAGATTTGGATTTTACTAGTTTTACATTTCTTACATAACAATAATGAGAATAAAGTATCATACTCTTTTGTATCTAAAATACTTTTTGTAGAGTTAAGTTTAATTCAAATAATTACAAGTTGAACATAGTCTATATTGTTGTAAGTAGTAAGTAGTGATTAATTCTATAGGAAACATGGATGAAGCAAATGAGGAGCTGCGAGCAGTTATAAAGAAAATATGGAAAAGAACCAGCCCTAACTTGTTGGACCAAGTTGTACCACCTGCTGGAGGTGCATAATAGTTGATGCTTATGTTGACTTTTTTTAAATTTTTAATTTGCTTGTTATAATTACTGAACTTGTTTGTTTATTTATTTAATTATTAATATTTTAAGAAGCCTTCTTTTTCAGTAGAAGCTAGTATGGTAGAAAGATGACTGGCAGTTTTATTTAAATTATAGATTAAACTAACTGATTACAGAAACTTTGCAGTATAACTTATTTTCATAAAAAAATAATTGACACTAAGAATCAGTGTGCTTTTGAAAATATATAAGTAGAGCATCTTACTGACATACCAAACCATTTTTATATCAATGTTTTTGCAGAAGCCAGGAAAGACGAATCAGTACTTAAGACAGTAAATTTAATTTATCTCACTGAACAGTTGGCTGAAATTGACATACATTGAAAATTTTCTTAGAATTGAGATTTGTTTTACCCTTGGGAGAAATCCTGGATGAAAACGTTCAATAGAAGTAATATATTTCGAGTCATTAATATCAAAATTTTATCTATAGTAATTTTTATTAAGAAATGATTAAACTATTAAAATTCTGTCAGAGACTTGGGTATCAAAATTCTCATCATGTTATTTTAAATTAAGGCCATTCATGTGATGGCATCAGGAGTTGACTGAATGTATTTTTAATAGTAAATTCTTTTAATTTGTTTTACAAAACACAGTGGAAGATGATGTTACTGTAGGAAAATTTTATGCCACATTCTTGATCCAGGATTATTTCAGACGATTCAAGAAAAGGAAAGACGAGAGAGATCTTGGAAACTCTGATAACGCTGTGGCTCTAACAGTATGTGTGAAAATTTAAAATTAATTTCATAAAAAATATTTATAGAAAATTGAAATTTCTTGTACATTTGAAATGAAATATCTATGAAAATAAAATATTTAAGCATTTTTGTTTGGAATACCTTTAAATATTTTCATCTTATATTTAAAATATGTTATAGGTCCCTTGGTAGCTTAGTGGTAAGTGTGATGGCTATAATGCTAAAATTCAAGGTATGATACCTATGGTTGTCACAGTGGAAATAGCCCATTGTGTAGCTTTGCAATGAAAAAACAATCAAATTTTTGTTATAGTTAGAATATATTATTAATATGACAAAAGGTAACATACTTGTTATGTGTATCAATATCTAATTGTCCCACCCCCTGCCTCCAGTGGCACAGCGGCATATCTGTGGACTTATAAAGCTAGAAACTGGGTTTCGATACCTGTGTTGGACAGAGCACGGATTGTGCATTGTGTAGCTTTATGCTTAACTTCAAACAAACAAACAATATCTAATTAAAAACAAATTGTTTAAAAAACAGCAAACATGTCATCTTTTCTAGGCTGGTTTACGTACATTGCACGAAGTAGGACCTGAAATCCGACGAGCTATATCTGGAAACTTGGATGCAGATGAATTTGAAAATACTTGGGACTCTGAACCATTACATAGGGTAAGGTGATTAAACAACTACTCTGAAGTTTCTGTATGAGATTAAAGATTTTCAAGAGTTAATTTGAAGTTTCTTTAGGAGATTAAAGAATTTCAAGAATAACTTGGAATTTCCCTTTTTGTATTTAAAGCCAGACAATGTTGTTAATATTCATTTCTTGTAGATATTTTAACGATATTTTATAGTCCTCTCTCTTATATTTCTTTTAAAGCAATTTTGCATTTATGCCTTTGGTTATTTTTCTAGTATTTTAACATCAAAATATTAAAGTCTTGCTGGTTAGATCTAATGTATTGGAGATTCTAGTTTGTATAGTTACTAGAACTATCTTGTTGAAAAACGTGTGCTATAAAGATGAAAATAAAGATATGTAATCTCTCTTTTTTTTTTTAGTTTCCAATATAAACTTGAATGGCAAATATTCTTAATTGATTCTCTTATACAAAATTTGTCTCTTTTTTTTTTTTTCTTAGGGGTTAATTCTAACATTGGTGCAAATAGCCCTGTCACTTTGTGTCATTAAACCTCAATCTATCACCAGTTCTAAACCTCACCCATTGACCGGTTGTTTAAAATTGAGGTGGATGAAACTTATTACAGGAAAAGTATGATTAACCGAATCACTAATACTTAAATTAACTGTTACAGAGAAACCATCCATTTTTTGGAAATATGTGGTCTTCAGAAAGCAGAAAGCAACCTGACAGAATACACGGCAATTCAACAAACTCTCTTACTAAGGTTTTACCAATGAAGCCTTACATGCCAAGCCCAAAACAGTACTTAGTTTTGAACCATATCAGTCTGTCCAGGGATGGATTGGCTAAAGCTAGTATGAGTGACCACTCATCCCTTAATGCTGGACAAACATCGACCAAAGCACAGTAAGTAGATTTAATGGAGCTTCAAGTAGTATATAGCCTTTAATCCAGAACACAAAATTAAAATAAACTGAAGTTATACACGTTGTTGCTCAAAGTTAAGCTTTTCTTTTTTTAAATAAAATTATATCCATTTGCTTCATTTCCATGCTGTTAATACAAAGCTTTCACAAAAATGTTTATATCTTACAATATTTTATTTGTCTTCTAACTGAATTGTTATCTAAAGACTCAAAGCACAGTAAGCTCTTCATAATATTATGGTACATAAGCATACCATGCATTCAGTGGTGGGATTCAAATATTTTAACAACAGGTTCTCTCACTTGCAGCATGTAAAAATATTAGATATTAAAAAAAAGGAGGGGCCAGAAAGC